AACCTCAAATTTCGAGGGGAGATTAAATTTTCGAATTTTTCGAACAGTTACAATGGTATATTTTTGAAAATAATGTATCTGTATATATATATATATATATATATATATATATATATATATATATATATATATATATATATAGATGAAATGTATATATGTATATATTGCATATAAAATATCATTTGAAGTTATTATTTTGTCATATTTCAGACGTTTGTACCCAATCAGTCTCAGAAATTCCACTGGTAGGATCGGCTGTGGATCTAGTTAATGCTGCAATTAAAACTGGAGCGGACAAGGCGAACGGGATCTGTCCTATAATTAATATTTTTTTGTAGATTTGTTAATTTGAGATAATCTTTTCTGACAAAGTTGACTTTGAGATATCCTTTTCTTTATAACAGAATTATTTAAGTGGAATTCATTTAAATATCAATATCATTTAAATCTCCACTGGGTTTAGCCCCAGTGACGCGGTTGAGGGAGTTGTGCAGGGATCTCCTGGAGTCATGCTTTTCCCACCACAGTTGGAGGTACAAGTCTGGCTCGGAGTCTTCTTGCTTGATTTTAAATAGTATAGTGTATTTATGTTTATGTATTTTTATTTTTAGGTTATTTTATTCTTATCTATATATTATTTTCTGTATAATTTATTTTTATTTATTGTAAATAGAGTGTGAATTTGATCTCTGAACACTATTATAAACGTCCTTTGAGACGGATTGTAATATTACTCAATAAACAAGTTATAAATAAAAAACATTTAAAGTTATTATTTTGTCATATTTCAGATGTCTATAACCAATCAGTCTCTGATATTCCACTGGTAGGATCGGCTGTGGATCTAGTTAGTTCTGCAATAAAAACTGGAGCGGACAAGGCGAACGGGATAGGACAGCACGTCATTAAAATCGCCCACAATGTGACCAATAGGAACCTCCAAGCTTTAGATAGAGTTGTACAAAACCATTTGGACGAATTCGTGGACACTATCGGCAACGGCACTCAAGCAATTTCTAATCTTGCAAGCGAATACCAGCGTGCGACAAACGAAGAAGGGTACGAGAACGGTTACGCCGGCTCAGACCCCTTCCTATAACGCAGTACCAGAAGTCTTCTACTAAATGTCATGGAAGCATGGCTCATAGTTTTGAAAATAATATATTATTATTATTAATTACTTATTATTAACTGTAATATCGCTCATTTGAATAAACTATAATAATCAAAAGAAAAATTGTCTTTCTGTACAATGAACCAGAACTAAATTTCGGTAATGTTGGATGTTTTCAATTCCTCAAGTAACTATAGTAAATAGGACCATTAACCATTTTAATTTGAAACTTACCAGTTTCTGCTAAAACAATACCTTTTGTTGGCAATATCCCCGTTCTAAAAACAATTAGTAAATCTTGAAGAATGGTGTCAAAACTGGAGAATTAAAATAAACTCCATCGAATCCCACCAAATTACCTTTACCTTTCGTCGTAAACCAATGACTTCCTGTCCTACAGTTTCCTTTAACAATACTCCACGTATCCCTGTCGAGAAAATCCGCTACCTACTACTCCACCTGGACAAACGTCTAACTTGGAATCCTCATACCAGACTGAAACCACAAGAAACAGCTCGACGTTTCCGATTACTTCAGCACTTACTAGACAAACGATCTAAACTTTCAATTAATTACAAAAGACTCATATACATGACTATAATAAGGCCTATTTGGACTTACGGAGTTGAGCTATGGTGCTCCACTAAACCATCGAATTCCTCTCGTATCCAATCCTTACAATCCAAAATACTTCGTAAAATCCTTAATACTCCCTACTTTGTTACAAATAAAACCATCCATAATGACCTTAATGTTTCTTTTGTTTCAGATCTGGCTCAATCCAGATACCTATCCCTTCATAATAAACTTCAGAATCATCCCAACCCTCTCGTTTCTAACCTTGCTTCCTCTTCAATTCCTGATAACCCTCCGAGGCGTCTGAAAAAAAGATAGCCCCGTGATCTCATAATGTAGACATATCATTGAATAGTTACTCAGTAAGTGTTTTCATGTCATTACATCCATATGTTCAAATTTACTAGATGTATATTACAGTTGTAAATATCATTGAGAAATAATAAAAAAAAATGCAAGAGTTTTCAATTAATTATTTTTAATAATCAGTTTTGTATGTCATTAAACTGTCAGAAGACCATGATTATTACTACATAAAGTATAAACTTGTAAAGCACCTCACTAGAATAAACTATCAAATGAAAATTTTCAGTAAATTCATATCCTGTTTACTACATAAATTGTAATTTGTCTGTTACATTATTTAAATATGTGTATTTAAAAATACACATTTTAATGTTTATTAAATACGTAATAAATCAATATTAACTGATTAATAATACATATGCTTTTTATAACATGTTACTAATTCAATTATATTATACAATTATAATTTGTAATTATAATTATTATTATTATTTGCCTAAGAGTCAGTTTAAGATAATTAAATCAGTCTTTTGTTATTTATTGGACATTTAGGGGGACCTTCGTTCCCCTCTTCAGCAATCTAAAATAATACGATTAATATATTTGAGGTTCGGTCATGAATCAGACACTATCAACTAAAAAATAATAAAAGACCACTAAATAATAAAAGACTAATTTGATTATTTTAACTGACCCATTACGATAAATATATATGTGTGAAAAGAATAAAGATCAAACTTGAATAATAGCTGATTATTATTATATGATAAAAAATAAAATAAAATAAATTATGAGAAAACAGAAACGAAATCCTGAATACTTATAAAAATTGTTAACGGGCCATGGTTAGTGTTGTCCAAATCCGAGACCAAGACAAGTATTGGTCTTGCGCACTCAGTCTTGGCCTTGGTCTCCCACAAGAGTCTCGCAACAGTCTTGAAGTTACCTATTAGCTTATTTCTATATAGATATCACTTTAATTGTTCACAGAATAGAAACCTAATGAAGAACGAAAAACTGGAAGAGTTAAATGTAAAAGTAAAGTTTTTTTTTTAAATTTATTTATCGAGTATTACAACGATCTGTCACATGGACACTAGTTATAGTGACGTAGGATAACATTCACACTATAGGTACAAAAAATATTAAATAAATAAAAGCAAAATAACAATAAATAATATAATAATAATCAAAAACGTAAATATAATAAATAAAATAAAATAATCTAAAAATAAGAAAATTAAAACTAAGCAAAAAACACATACCTACCTATAAAAGTAAAGTTAAATGCAAATTGCAAGACCAAGACCGATTTTGGGCAACACTAGCCATGGTATATTTAAAATCACACAGTAAAATCTAACATTCACACTAGACAAACATAATAAATTTCACTCTCTCATTTTCTCCCCAATTATCTATTCCACGGAAATTAAAAAGAAAATAGCCCAGAGATCTCCTGCTTTCCCACTAACTAAATCAAGTTCATTATAAGATAAAGTCAAAGAAACTAATCAGATCGAATATGCTAGGTTCACTACTGCTTATATTCAAATGAGGTAAAAGAATAAAATAAAATAAATACATAATATAGTCGTTGAAATCAAATTTAACTAGATCAATCTTACAATTAGTCAATCATTATTAATTAGAATAGTTAATGTAGAATAGAATTGAAATAGAAACTTTCAAGGACATGAAGTAAGTATATTTTGTTTTAATGATAACAAAACTTAATTAGAAACATATCAAATTTAATAAAATCAAAATATAAAGTATCATACAGCAACTTTGGTTAGGAGATGGCTCAAGGCGAAATCTCTCAGGAGTTTCAAATTTTTGAGGCCGGCATTTTCTAATATCATTCATTCATTATGTGCTTTGTAGTGTGATGTATTTTTACATGATTGCACCCAACATATATGGAAAAAGTAATAATGAAATAATAACAACATAATAAAAATATTTTTTTTTAAATTAACACATCGCTACTCTTAGTGTGAAAGATCATATGTGACAATTTTTCATTCTTCATTCTATTTGTGCAAAAGGTGACATTTTGTAGTCTGCTGCTACGGAAAATAGTATAGAGAAGTAAAATATGTAATTGCGCTAATAAATCATAAAGAAATAATCAATGTTTAAGTTCTTTTTAAAAAAAAAACTCTTGACATACGATCTTTTACACTAATAGTAGCGTTATATGGAAGATTGATAATTGAGGAGATTTAACAATGGAAAATATTGTAGGACAATAAAATATGAAATTATACTTATAAATCATGAAGAATTTATTAGGTTTTATCTTCTGTAAAACAGTCAATTTTTACATACGACCTTTTTCACTAACTGTTGCAATACTTTTTTTTTAATAACGAATTATCAAATATGCAATCTGCAAATGCGAAATTCTTTCGCATTAAAGTATTAGCGAATGAACAAAACTCGTTGATAACGAACACCAATATGTTGAAGCATTATTGAATTTCCGAAAACGGCCTCTCCCAGAGATCTTATTCTCATACGAAAAAAATTTAGTAGATCTTTTAATAGGGATATTTTTAGCTAATGAAACTCGCCGTTTTTATTTCACTGACCTCACTTGGCAGACATTTTTATTAGTGCCAACTATGAGGCAACTTTAATTATTTCTGATTAACGAAATTAACAGTGCGTAATAGAATGTAAATTTCATGATTCGGCATTATAGCTTTGTCAGGCAATTTCAGTGAGGTTAATACCAACATGATATTAATTTAACTAATTAAAGACTACTCTACTTTACATCTATATGACGAGAAATATGATTTATAAATATATACTTTATTTATATATATATAAAGCACCGTTTATATGAGTCTATTGTGATGATTGAAAGCTGAAAGTAGCTGCAACATCCCCCGGCGTATGCCTAAAATAAATTTATATCAAAAGTGTAAAAAATATACAACTGGTGTACGGTAAATTATGTAAGCTTCCGAAATTTGTATTTAAATATGTTTCACAAATTTCTAACAAAAATTATCAAACTTGTAAGTATAACTGCTAGCATATATAGGTGAACGTGTTGATGAATTTTATTTTTGTTTGTCTTGAAATATAAGAGATGTTGCTGAATCAACCTGACAGTTAATCAATATGAGGTGCGCTACTGTGGTTTTCATTCTTTTCGGACTGTTACAGGTCTCATTTTCAGGTACATGAGTGATCAACTACATACTAGTTAAATTGGTGTGATAATAATGGCCAATCTTATTTTTATTGATTTTTTCGCAATAAAAATTTACTATTTATTTTTGAACATCTATTGTGACGAAAAATAAAATACAAACATATTAGTTCGTAAAATAATTGTTAGTTTTTTTTTTAATATCTCGAAGAGGGTTAGATAAAATTAATTAATTAGTATTAGTTTTAATAATGAGTATCAGTTTATAATAAGTCTTAGTTTTAAGTATTAATTTATTTCGGATTCGAATAACCAACTGCTGATTGGGAGGAAAAACAAAAGACAGTTCAGAGAGAGATGGCGGAACATCGCGAGTGTTGAGGCCCCCTAAGGATTTGGTTGTGTGAAATACTTTAGTTTTACGGTGTACACCGGATTTTCTTTTCCTATCCATGAACCTGTGATAACTCAATGTGCCAATTGGACAAAGTTCGGCATTGAGATTTTCTAAATATGTACATATATGTTTTTTTTTAATCTATTTTTATTTCCAAATGTTTGTAATTGGTATATTGTATAGTTGTAGGTTAAAGTTTAGTTATATAATAATTCTATATTCTTTTCTTTGGTAATTAAAGTTGTATTTTCTTTGTTTTCTTATGAATCTAATTTCTTGTTCATAATTTTTATTTCCTTTAAAAGTTATTTAAATCAATAGAAATAAGTAAATTCATTATTAATATTAATAATAGCCAATTTTATTTTCTTCTTTTTCTTCAGTTTGTTTTCACGTTTTATGTATATATTATATTGTTATTTTTTAGGTTTAATAAGGAATTGTAAAACACTATTTGAGGGATTAGGGAAAGTCATTATTAACCAAGTAAGAAGGTTCGATAGGTTATGAGGTTAATTAAAATATGTTTTTAAACCCAAAGGTTCCGAGTTCGTAGCTCACTCCGCGTCCTAATTCTTTTTTTTTTTTAATTAAATTTATTTAATTTTTTTATTTTTATGGTTTTCGCTATTTTCCAAATTCAACTAATTAAGTAGCGTGACGCCTGTTAGATGGTTATTAATATTTAATTGACTCTTGATAATTTTTTTTTGCGAAACCTGGGTTCTCCACTGAGCATCCGGCAAGTATGTTGCGGAAACGATTTTTCCAAATTAAAGACCGTAAGACTATGTATACTTTATACAATATGGCGGTATAGCTCGCCTTTCCAGCTCTCAGGAGCGATGAATTTTGATAAATGGAGTAGCAAGCGAAAGTGAATTTCATCAAGAAGTGACGAGTCCCAATTTGAAAACTAAAAACATTACTATAACTGCAATAAAAGTCATTAATGATTTATTTCAGTTCCTATTTGACCCTGAAAAAAATTATACAAACTAAGAGAGCATTCCTACTTATACCAGTTCTATGATGTGTCATTTTGACCACTGACTGTCTCGTAAAATTCCACTCTCTTATAAAAAAATACAATAGATAACAATAGCTAAACAATAATAAATGTATGTTGCCTAATTTTGAATAATGGTGTACTAATATTCCGTACCTTATTTTCACTTTATTTTATTATTTTTTAAGAGTCCAGTTCAGAGGAAGACTCGTCATATACCGAAGAAGATGATAGTGATTACCACGAGGTCGAAAGCGACTTAAAACATTCCGGAATTTCCCATGAAAGTTTACATCTTAATGGATTCCGAAATGGCTCAATGCTGCAAACAAATGATCCACAACTTTGGTCTTCAAACTCTCAACTAACTGATAGAGCCACTTTGGAAGGAGCAAGTGGCCTCAGGGGACACTCCGGTTCTCAAAAAATCGGCCAACAAGGACTCAACAACCAAAATTATTCGAGAGCTCAACCTCAAAACAATCATGAAAAAAAACATAAGATCATTCATCATGGTTCCAAACATCAAGAATTCAAACCCATCTATGTACATTTCTGAAAGTAATAGACGAGAATGAAATTTGTTTTCTTGCTTTATGTAATCTTTAAAACCTTATCCCTTCAATAAAAAAAAAACGCTGCAAATGATTTTCCAATGGTTTATTATCTCCAAACAATTATACATCTAAAGTAAGATTACCTTCCGAGTTACAAAGAAAACAAAACAAAAGGTGATTCCAATTATTGGATTAAAATGTTTTTCTTTAATCATTAGTAATATGCTAAAAAAAAATATCAGAACCACATTTAAAATTTAAAAAACAAACCAATGATATAACATTTGGAGTAGAACACATAAAAACAAACCACAGACCATATCTTTGCTCCTAGTTGTCCGATTTTAACTATTTTTTTTTTTTTTTTTTTTAGGAAATTTTATAAACTTTTAAAAAACCATAATATGTAAAAACCGCGATATCTCTACTAATAGTGCTTTGATTTCGATGAAACTTCCTTCATTTTTTTAGGAAATTTAAATACCTTTGAAACATCTCATAATAACAACAAAAAAGTAAAAACTTTTCGAGTTATTCGGAATTTAATTTTAACATCCCTCGTAACTTTTTTTTCAGCTGCTTTTCGTTGAAGTATGTTATATAAATAAATTTGAAGGGCGTCGAGAAAATGACTTTAGCGAAGTTTCATTGAAATCTGTACATTCGTTTAGGAGCTACAGTCTATAGCAACGCAGGTTTTTCGGCCGCCATTTTGAAAGTTAAAGGCGGAGAGCAATGTCGATGAAGGAGGATCATCCTCGGGTGACCTCTGATTTTATATCAAAATTTGAAAAAAAATTGGTCCAGTAGTTTCGGAGAAAATGCGCGGACGGCGGACGGACAAAAAAATTTGTATTCGTTTTTCGAAATCTACGCATCTTGAAACGTGAAACCTCAAATTTTGAGAGGAGGTTATGTTTTTGAATTTTTTGGTCGATCACAATGATTCATTATTGAAAATAATAAACCAAAATAAATTAATAGATTCATACATCGGCAATATTTTGTATTTTTAGATTTGTTCAGAAAATCTTATTTTTGAGTTAAAACAGCATCACTCTGTTCACCGGGGCTGTTGAGTGTAGTAAAAAAAACGTTTATATGAACAATGGTCCCTTTTTTTTTTTTTTTTTTTTTTAGGAGGATATTTAAGCTACGTGCTTTTTTAAGTAAGTGACGTTTGTTGTTGAATAGGAAACGATAACTAAAAAAAATATTTAAAAATTAAAAATTACTTCACAGTAAACTAGACGAGATTTAGTTAATATGATATTAGTTTCTCAATTTTGAAACGATGTAAAGAGGACTTTTGGGCGGCTAAATTAAACTAAGTTGTTTTTTTTAAACTTATTTATTGAAAAATATTACAATCTGTCTCAAGGACATTTATAATAGTGTTCTGAGATCACATTCACACTCTATGTACAATAAATAAAATAAACTATGCAGAAAAATAATATATATACAATAAATAAGAATAAAATAACCTAAAAATAAATAAATAAAAAGAACACATACATACCAATATACAATATTTACAATCTGGCGAGAGAACTCCAAACCAGATTTGTCCCTCCAACTGTGCAGGGAAAAGCGTGACTACAGGATATCCCTGCACTTCTCTCTCAACCGCGTCACTGGGGCTAAACCCAGTTGAGATTGTGCAAGAGTGCTTTAGCCACATACACTCATGTCGTGAGTGGAGAATCTGGCGATTGCCAGAACTTCAATATTTACAAAACATAAAAGGTCGAGGGGCCATTGCCGTATTAACCTCCTTGGAGGATTATAGGGATAGGTGGTGCTGGATAGAGATTGAGCAAAGGGATTTGGATGATAGGTAAAGTTCTGGTGAAATTTGGAGAATTTTGCTGGGATAAGGTCTAGGACAAATGTGATATTAAGGACATGGTGTAAGGTTTTGTTGGTTACATAGAAAGGAGAATTGACTATTGTTCGAAGGACTTTGGATTGGAAGGGTTGGATGCGTTTGATGTTAGAAAATTTTGCTATTCCCCACAGTTTTAGTTTTTTTTTTTAGTTAAGAATTATAGAATTTTAATTTCTAAACAATTTTTCGACATTGACGTTATTTGTCTGTCTGTAGAACCAACGAATCAGACAGAATATCCAAGAGTTTATGTTATGTAAACAAATTGCATGTGAATAAAAAGGTTCTTCTGAAACAAATTCATTTATTTTAATAAAAAACTTTGAACAAATTAAAAAGTAATTATTGTGAAAACAATAAAAAATGTCTGCCAAGTGAATCGGTTAGGCTTAGTTACCAGTTATTAACACTTTAACCAAATGGCTCAGGTTATTTACCTTAAACATTTATTGTTAATTAATCTGCCTGCATGTGTAAAAGCTTTTCATACTAGTCCAAGTGTGTCCTGCGGATCCCGGTTATGTAATAACCAAAATACTTTTCAAGTTTTTGACTACAAAACCGACGAAAATATTCTACCAATTATTGATATGCAAAAACTAATTTTTGACAGAGAAAGGATCCAGTTATTGACACTGTTATCGACCATCAAACGAGTTTATTTTGAAAACTATAATTTTCATTTATAGGTACAAAATTATCGCACATTAGTATCTTAACACTTTAAAACTTATTACCCATACCTAGATATCCCAAAATGGTATGAGAAAGCAAATTATATACTACAGGTATATAATTACTTGGGTACATTTAGTATGAGTACTGGGGTACACAATGAGTACTTGGTACATTTCAATCAATATTTAGATAATAAGGAAATAGAACTCCCGCAGAGGTTGAACTCTTTCGAAGCTCTAAGAGGATTAGCAGCCATCTTACCTTCTGAACCCCTGAAAACTTTACAAACCCTGATTGAATTTTTCCTTTGGTAACTATTGTGGCTGTGATGAAGTGGCGCTTAATGATTGTCTGATCTGTATCCATTTCTGTTGGAATTTCGACTTCTTCCAAGTTTTTCTGTTCGTGTCCTTCTTCAATGTTCCTCCATTTCTGTTCATGGATATTGATGAAGGGTAGGTTGTAGTAACAGGCAGACCTGGAGTACTTATATTCACAAGCCTGAAAAAGATCAATCCATTACTTTTATGAGCTATAACGCGGAAAATTGATTTCTAAAAGAGATTGAAATATATCAAAGTCGAAAGACTGCAACTAGGAAAGGAAAATAACAGGTTACCAAAAGAAATCACTGGATAGCTACGATAGTCATTCTAGAAGTCATTTTATCTATGTACGGTTGAATGCTTCCTCCACTTCCTGGAAACAATTTGGTGAGTTCGACTGGAAACTTAATGAGTTCGAACGTCAATTTAAATTTGCCATCAGCAATAATTCACTTTCGGCATTTTCTGTACTTGAATTAGTAATTAACACTCCTAAATACAAAAATAACAACCATTCTTCAACCAAAGACAAAAACTAACATAGGGGAAAAAGTCCAACCTTTTAGAGAATTTCGGAAGTATATTCCATTAGGATGAATAGGATTTCCATATTTCTGCAGTATGTTTTTATTTTTTTTAAATTTGATATTTAATGTTTCATTTTTACTTTTAGTGATAGGTATCATTTGAAACTTTAGAACTATTTAAAAGGTGAATAAGAAACTTCATTTTTTATAATTATAATTCTCATGTAAGTACATCTTTTATGATATAATTTTAATTATAATTGTATAAATGGAAAACAAATGATAATTTAAGAATGTGTTCCTGTTTATAGTGCTATGTCTAAGTTTAAAGCTTTAAGTATGTTTAAAACGGGGCCTCCCTCGGCTCCATCACTACCTTGAAGGCCGTCTTTAGCGCCATCTCCATCATCTAAAAAATATTATCATTTTATTATAATTTCTTAGAAATGTACATGCAAACTCATCCAGGGGCTGACACCCAACCGCACAGACATAATTTAAATACATTGTGAACCGTCAGAGATATCACAAAATTGTAAATAAATAAATCTTCAAAAAGTCAAAAGCCAACCAATATTATTTCATTATTGGATAGATAATTTCATGAACTTCTCAGTAATTATAGTTGTATTAGCAGATCTGGGAAAAGATTTTAGCTGCAAATATTTTTCTATGCCTGTATCACAAAATGGAAAACTATTAATTATAACTTAAGGCATTATTTAAAACTTTTATATCATCATTTACTATGGTCCTTAATGTGATTGACAGAATGTGATCGAAATATCCTTATGGTGGTATGCATAGTCGTCCCTTATATTTCACTATTCCCATTTCGTCTCTAAAAGGCTGGTGGTCAGAGTCCACCCCTTCAAGTTTCTTTTAAAACGTGTAAAAAATATCGATTAAACATGGAGTAAGTAAAGGAGGTAGTAACTCGACTGTTCAAATAGATAATAAACTATTGTTATCTTTTTTTTTAATATGCTTATTATATAGATAAGTGGTATAAAAAGAAAAAGATTTTGTGGAGATGAGTTACAGTTCCTCACATCTCTAGTTCTCGAAAAAGCTGATGTTATAGAAAACAAAGATACAGATACTGATTCAAATAGAAACAAAAATAATACAAAAATAAATAAAAAAAGAAGGAAACGGTGGTGTTACCACACATTACGTTTTATTATTACTAGTGTTTGCCCAGTGGTTGAAATTAGAACGTAGTCATTAAAAATTTGAGGAAAACATATAATTAAATAAAAAATAAATTCAATAAATAAAGATGAAATCACATAAAAAAAACATAAATATGTTTTAAAAAGGAATAAAAAAATATATACATAAATTACTATCGAGGAAAAAAAAAAAAAAAAAAAAAAGTATAGAGTATATAGAAATTAAGTCAATATATCGCAAATTTGTGAGAAAAAAGTAATTTAGTTCAGATTAGTTGAATTAGCCCTATGTTCTTAATGAATTCAATGGTACTATCGATACGTTGTTCGTTATCTATTAGTGCCTCACAGAGCTGACGAGGTACACCACGTCTTTCCATCTCTCTCCTGTAGCGAGGACACTCCTCAAAGATATGGCTCACTGTGAGAGCCACTTTACAGAGTTGACACTGAGGGGGATCTTCCCTTGCCATCAGGTAGCCATGGGTCAACCGGCAATGTCCAATTCTGAGGCGTGTGATGACTACTTCCTCTCTTCTGCACTTCCTGGAGGACGAGGCCCAACAATTGACGGTCGGTTTGATTATCCTCAGTTTATTATTCTCCAACGTGGTCCAGTTCTGTTGCCATTCGTTTAAAATCTTTATGTTTATTGGTTTCAATAAATCTGATGTTGAAATATAAGAGGGCGTTATTACTTCCAGTGAATGGGCTTCTGTTGCTGCTCTGTCCACTTCCTCATTTTCGGAGATACCAGAATGACTGGGAACCCATAGCAAATTTACTTTTTTCAAAGAATCTTTTATTTGTTTTATGAGTAAATGGATTTCTTGTACAAGTGGGTTTTCTGAAAATAAATTCTAAAGAGATTTGAGGGCACTCAGTGAGTCCCAGAGCATACAATTATTGACTGCTCTGTAGATGACTGGGCAAGTTCTAGTGCTTTTAAAATTGCCATCAGTTCGGCTGTGAAAATACTGCAGATACTTTCCAGTTTGAATTTTAGATTTTTACCAGCATTTAACACAGCACATGATGTTGACTCATTTGTTTTAGAACTGTCAGTATATATTATTTTGTCGGACTGATAATTATTAAGTTCAGCTAGGAATGTTTGACAAATTTCTTGTGAGGAACATTGTTTTGCCTTTGAGACTTTCAACATATTACTGTTTGCTTGTGGAGGTAATAATGTCCATGGTGGTAGCTTTCTTCGTAGGTTTGTGTACGGATACTTAATTAGTTCAGAGATAACCCATCTCATTCTATACCAAAGTGGATGGGAGGAATATTTCAATCTTCCGTATTTGTCGGCATTATTCCGATGGAATATAGAATTGTAAGCAGGGTTTTCTTTTGATGTCGATAAAAAGAGGTACTGAGGTACTATACCAGCATCCACGTAAAGACTGTTTGCCGAGCTTGTTTTGAAAGCTCCAGTGAAGAGGCGAATGGCCATGGTGGACTGCGTCTAGTTTTTTAATTTTATTATGGCTTGCGGAGGCGTAGATAAAGCTACCGTAATCAATTTTAGTAAGGATTATTGCTTGGTATACACGGAGCATAGTCTTCCTGTCTGATCCCCATCTGGTGTTACCTAATTTCTTCAGTAGCATCATTCGGCTTATCGTCTTGGATTTGAGCTGTTCGATATGCATAGACCAAGTTAATTTTTTATCTAGATGTAGACCTAAAAATCTAATCTGGTTTGTTTACAAACGTGGGACATTTTAAAGTGATTTGGGGTGAAGTGCTATATTTTCTATGACGGCTGAAGTGTACACATCGGCTCTCATCTATTGAGAAATTACATGCTGTTCTTTGTGACCACAATGTTAAACTGTTTACTACATCCTGAAGACATAGCTTAATGAAGTAAAGGTCACGTGATTTACAGAGGATTGCAAAATCATCAGCAAATAAATATCCTGTAACATTGGGTGTCAAACAGTCAGTGATAGTTCGAATAGCAATTGAAAATAATGTCGTACTCAATACTGAGCCTTGAGGTACACCATTGCTTACATACTTTCTTTCAGAAGCAGTTCCATCCACCATGACTCTGAAAAACCTTGTTCCGAGAAATCCTCTAATAAAGTTTGCAAGATTTTCCCCTAACTCGCCATCCATGCAGTTGCTTCAGGATATTGTATTGCCATACTGTGTCAAAAGCATTTTTTGAAAGAATATACCTACCGAGTGTTCCTTATTGACAAATCCATCTTGAATCTCAGTAGTTATTCTGACAAGGTTTTCGATGGTGGAGCGTTTTTTGCGAAAACCACATTGCAAATTATCTTGGACGTTGAATTCTTCAAGTAACCAAATGAAGCGTTTGTTCACCATCCTTTCTAGAATTTTACAAACACAGTTTGTTAGCGAAATTGGACGGTAACTGGTCACTTCAGTTTTAGGCTTTCCTGCTTTTAATACTGGTATTATTATAGACTCTTTCCACTGAACAGGAAAAACACCGCTGGTCCATATTTTATTATAAAGTTGTAGGATTGTCTTTAATGAGTCATCAGATAGATGTTTAAACATTTCGTATGTCAGTTTATCAGGACCTGGTGATTTACCTCTTAGTTCAGTGAGGACACTTTTTAGTTCTCTCATGCTGAAAAGTAAATTATGTTTTTCCTCGTTTGTTGATGTAAAATCAAATGGGTTCTTTGTCGCTTCTTGTTTTAAAGAGAAAAATGATTCGTCGTTACCAATTGTATGCGTTAAGAAAAATGTTGCCAACTCATTCGCAACAATTTTCTCGTCACAAGTGACGCCTCTTACCGCATTTAAATATATAGGTTGAAAAATTCGTTTTCCTTCGATAGCCCGAACCTTCTTCCACACCGTGGAAGATGGTGTATTTGAATTAATGGAAGACACATACTGTTTCCAGGAGGTTGTTTTGTGGTAACATATCACTCTCTTACATGATGCTTTTGCTTTTTTGTATTCTATGAAATTTTGAAGAGTCGTGTTTCTTTTAAAAACCCTATAGGCTTTTCTCTTCTTTTTTATAGCATCTTTACAATCGGCGTTAAACCACGGAACGGGTTGTCGTTTTGGTCTGGATGATGATTTAGGAATAAAACGGTCCGCTACTTCTCTTATTGTTGAGGTAATGAGAGTGCAGCTCTCTTTTACATCGTTTGGGAGGTCAGGAGGGAATTGAACGTTTGCCGCATATTGTTGCCAGTTTGCTCTTTGATGAATCCAGGTTGATCTTATGCTCATGAAGGGTAGATGCCCAACCATATTAATCATGATAGGGAAGTGGTCACTGGAATACTGATCGGATATTACATTCCAAAGGGTGTTCAGTAATAAACAGCTTGAACAAAATGAGACGTCAATGGAAGAGTATGTGCCATATGATGAGCTTAAAAAAGTAGGTTCGCCGCAATTGAGAACATGTAGGTTATTGGTATCCAGCATGCTTTCTATTACCTTTCCTCTTCTATCACTTCTTTCTGACCCCCAGCTGGTGTTATGGGCGTTCAGGTCTCCTAAAAATAGAAGTGGTCTAGGCAGTTGGGAACAAAGTGATTCCAACTGTTCTGATGTTAACGGAGTTTGTTGAGGTAGGTATACGTTGCATAAAGTGAGGGGTTGCTCACCTAGAATTCTGATAGCGACAGCTTGTAAAGTTGTGTGTAGAACGGCTCAAATCGGCTCAAATTGCAAACGGTGAGATACTAGTGTCATAACTCCTCCGCAAGCTCGAGCTCTACTAACGTTATCTAGACGACAAAGTTCGAAGCCCCTAAGTGTCAACTTATCACTAGGTTTTAAGTGTGTTTCCTGCAGACACAGGAGAGTGGGGTGATTGTCCTGTATCAATAACTGTAGGTCAGTGAAATGAGTTAAGATTCCATTGCAGTTCCATTGAATTATTTTAACATCGGGCATGATTATGGAGTAGATAAAAGAATAATCTTTCATAGTTCGTACAAGCCATTGAAACAGAGTGGCATTTAGAATGTAATAGCGATATTGATTTAATTGAGATATAAACAAATAAATAGCTTGCAATATTAATGAGATTCAATATTATATGTAATAAGAAATAAATAACTTAATAAATAATGTAATTGTAGAAATAATCTGTTTTTGTAATTTTCACAATGCTTTAGTAAAAAACTAGTCAATGAAGGAAGTTTATATAGGATGATACAATAAAATATTTGTAAATTAAAAGATGATATTATTAAGCGTAACATTTAATAAGGGT